GCAAGGTCTGAGTTTTTCCTTCTTCCTTTGTTCTGTTGCATTCGGCTAGGCTTCTCCTTGCTTGCTTGGATATCATTCACCTCGGCTCAACAGAGCCCGATGTACGATGGATTCTGGTGTGAAGTCGGCCACGAAGTCGGCCAAAACTTGGCCTTTGATTGTTGTTCTGGGTCTGTACTCCAAGTCATACTGTTCCAGGGCCACTGCCGATCTGGCTATTCTTCCTGTCAGGTCTCCTTGTTGCAGCAAGGACTTTAAGGGGTGTTCAGTTAGCACCACAATTTTATGGGCCTGGAAGTAATGGTTCAGTTTCTTTGAAGCCATTACTAAAGCCAGTGCTAATTTTTCTAAGGGTAGATACCTTGTTTCTATATCGGCCAGGGTTTTGCTTACATAGTAAACAGCCCTTTGCTCCCCTTTTTCTTCTCAGATTACCACTGCGCTTACTGCGTGCTCTGAGACTACTAAGTACAAAAACAACTCTTCCCCAGGTTCAGGATTTGAAAGAACTGGAGCTGTGGTCAAATACTTCTTCAAGTTGGCCAGGGCGACCTCGCATTCTTCTGTCCATAAAAAATCTGCGGCTTTCTTCACTAAGTTGAAAAAAGGTTTGCACTTGTCTGAGCTTTTGCTTATGAATCTATTCAGGGCTGTGGCCCTTCCAGTCAACATTTGTACTTGTTTTGTCGACGTCGGGCTCCTCAATTCCAGGATGGCCTTAATCTGATCTGGGCTAGCCTCAATGCCCCTTCTACTAACCAGGTATCCCAAAAACTTACCAGATCCCACTCCAAATGCACACTTCGCTGCATTGATTCGGAGCCGATATGTTTTAAGGATGTCAAAGGCTGCTTTCAAGTCGGCCAGATGACTTTTAGGTTCCTTGGTCTTCATGACTATGTCATCAATGTAAACTTCCACTGTTCCGCCAATCAGGTGTTTGAACATCTTGGTTACCAGTCTTTGGTAAGTTGCTCCTGCGTTTTTCAACCCAAAAGGCATCATTCTGTAGCAGTACAGACCTTTTGGGGTGATAAACGCAGTCTTCTCCTCATCTGGGAGATGCATGGCTATCTGATGGTATCCCCTGTAGGCATCCAGGAAGCTCATCCTTTCATACCCCGAAGTGGCGTCTACCAGCTGGTCAATCTTGGGTAAAGGAAAACTGTCTTTGGGACAGGCCTTGTTCAGGCTGGTAAAGTCTACATAGACCCTCCATTTACCATTCTTCTTCTTCACCACCACTATGTTTGATAGCCATGTCGGGTATTATACCTCTCGAATGGCCCTGGCCTCCAGAAGTCTGTCTACTTCCTCTTCTACTGCTTCGACGTGTATTAACGTCGGTCTTCTTGCTCGTTGGATTACAGGTTTTGCCGACCTATCAACATTCAGTTTATGGCAAGTGACCTCGGGGTCAATGCCAGACATTTCGTAAGGCATCCAAGCAAACACCTCAATATTTGCTCTCAAAAAAGCTTCCAACTCTTTTTCCTCTTCTTCAGCTAAGCCCGAGCCGAGAAGAAAGAAGCGTTCTTCATCCCTCTCCTAGACGAGGATTTTCTTCAGTGCTTCTTTACTTTTCTTGGCTGGCTCCTTGCCGACATCCTCTAAGACCTCCACGTCTTCGTCTTCGATCTCTGCTTTCGCTGGTTCGCTTATGCTGCAGATGGATTTCATTGCTGCCATGGAGTAATTCTTTGCCTGCAGCTGATCTCCTCTGACCTTCTCAATCCCATGCTCTGTTGGGAACCGCAATAGTTGATGTAGTGTTAAGGGAACAGCCCCCATTGCATGCAACCATGGCCTTGCCAAGATGATATTGTAAGGGGAGGGTGTGTCGATTACGGTGAACTCTGTCTTTATCTTCTTGGTGCCAACCTGCACTTCCAAGCTCGTCGTTCCCAGTGGCCATGTCGGCGTTCCGTTGAACCCAACCATTGGGCTATTGGATTGCCCCATATCGTCTGGGTAAAGGCCAAGCTCCTTGTAACATCTGACGTACATGATGTCACAAGAGCTGCCTTGGTCGATTAAGATGCGCTTCACTTGGCATTCCCCAATATGGAGGGATACTACCAAGGCATCGTTATGTGGATGCTGCACCATCTCAAGGTCGGCTTCAGTGAAGGACACTACTGGTCCTTGGCAATCTTCTGCTCGATGTCTCTTCTCCCCGACTTGGTAGACATGCTGTAGGTGTTTTACCTTCTGGGTCTCCCTCCGAATCTCGTTTTCGTTGACCTTCGAGTGAATTACATTAATTACCCGAGGTCGTCCTGCTTGAGGTTGCTGTGCTAGGGGAGGTGGAGCTGCTGTCGCCTGAGGCAATCTTGCCTGTTCTTCCCTTGTGCTGGCCTCATCGACAAGGTCTCTCAGATGGCCTTGCCTCACCAGGTCCTCTAAGTGTGTTTTCAGGGCTCTACAACCCTGAGTCGTGTGCCCATCTTCATTGTGATAAACACAATGTCTGCCAAGGTTTCTTCCCATAAACTCTCCTGGTGCCCTTGTTGGTGCTCTGAAATAGAGTTAGTTCCGAATTTTGTCCAGGACTTTGTGAATTGGGATTCGGAACACAGTCGTAACTGCCTGTGTAGCCCTCAATCCTATTTCTTGTTTGCTGGATCCGTTGTTACCTCGGCCTCGCTTCGGCGAGCCGTTTCCTTTTTCTTGCTTTACCTCCTTTGTCCCCGATGTATCTTCCTCGGCTCTGGCGTACTTCTCGATTCTGGCCATGAGCTCTTCCATACTTTTTGGCAATGTCTTTGCCAAAGATTTTCGTAGTGGACAGTCGTCTTTTAGGCTGTTCTTGAAAGATACGATCGCTACCTCTTAACTACACTCTGGTATTCGGTTGAACATCTCATAGCACCTTTTTGCATAGGCCCTAAGGCCTTCATCCTTACTGATCTTCAGGGCCATCAATACATCCACCCTTAATGGCTACAGCTTGTTTGTCACGAACTTGGCCACAAACATCTCGGCCAAGCCTTCCCAGGTCTTCACACTTCCCTTCGGTAGTTTGTGAAACCAATCTGATGCAATCTCCCCGAAGGATGAGGGGAACACTTTGTAGAGCAACGGCTCGTTCCCACTATATAATGCCATTAAGTTCAAGTATAATCCAACGTGGAAGTTGGGGTCTGACTTACCATCGTATATTTGGAACCTCGGCATACTGAATCTCTTCGGCACCTCAAATTTGTCCAAGTCCACTGAGAAGGGTGTTCTCGGCTTATCAGGGGAGGTTACCTCGGCATCGGCATTCTGTTGCTTCCTCTTGAGGTAATCCCTCAAGTCCTCCTTTGTCTGCCTAGGAGCTCAGCTATCTCTCGACTTCAGTCTTTTCGGCATACTACTCTCAGCTTCGTTGTGGGCCCTTTTCGACCTTTCTCTATGAGTTGTGTCAAAGCACAGCTCCTGCCTTTGAACGTGTCGGTGTTCTCTTGGGTCTGCTTCTTTAGTGTGATGTGTCCTCCGTGATTCTTCTCTCCTCGACTCTCCTCGCCCGACCTCCCTGGAAGGCCGGTGAGAGTGTTTTTCGCTTCTGATATGCTGAGGGGCTATTGCGATTTGCTTCTGCACTCCCTTCTGGGCATTGGCCGCTAGAATCGGTGTGTCCTGTAACGGGTATGGTGGCTGCATGACATTACTTTGCATCATAAAATTAACGACCGATTGTAGGTCTGCCAACTTGTTTGCCATCTCTTTCACCTTTTCGTCCCTCCGCAGGCATCTATCCTTCCATACCTGGAGGTCATCCTCGTTGTAGTATCCGCTTCTATCTGGTTTCTTTGGCACGTCGCCATCCTGGCCGACGTCTTTCTTGCCGTGATTCTGGTTCTGAGTCTCCTCATTGCGACCATCTTCCTCCATATTAGGATCAATGTGCTTACCGTTCCCAGCTGGGGTTTCGTCCCCAACCTTATCCGTCTGTCCGTCACTGGCCATCTATTCTCCTTTCTTTTTCACAGACGGTGCCAAATTGTGTGAGTGAATTTCCGATCACACTGCCAACTTAGTATTCAGCTGGAGAGTACTGGCAGAATAGATGACACCTGGCTGACCTGCAACAGAAAGAGAAGATTACAGCGATGGTTCGTCCACCCGAGGGAACTCCGACGATCAAGTTAGTATATCTCTCAAAGATAATCAATAGTGCTAAACTCACTGTTCAGAATATAATTGTGTACCTTAGACCCATCGGGGGTGCCTTTCTTTTATAGTTAACTCAATCCTAGTCCTCATAGAAGCCTAGCTTCAATGGACTTCTGCTCAGTGCTTATCCTAGACTCTCCAAGAGATAAAAATAAACTCCCTAAGAGTGTTATCCTTATCCATGTTAAAGTCCTTTTTCATTCTACGACTCTTGTCCCTTAGGACACGTGGCACCTCGGCTGAGACTGCAGCGTCACCTTGGCCACGTGTTGGTACTCAGAAAATATATCCCCACAGTACTATTCAATCTAGCTCTATTTTTAACCAGTTTTCTGAAATTTTATTTTAGTTGTTCTAACAAAAACAACCTAAGGTATAAATTAGAATTGGCCAAGCTTTTAAATTCCAATCCAATGAGACATGGAAATGGCAACCCAGGGCCCTAATGAAACAATATGTATGTTCAGAACCCAGAAAAAGGATTTAGATTTGGAAAGGAAGCTAATCAATATTGAAGAAAGTGAGGGAATCAAACCTCAATTGGTCTTGGATCTCTCAAAATCTTGACAATATAACCACAGTATGTTAGAGAGAGAGTGAGAGAGAGAGAGAGAGATTTAATTTAAAGTACTCACATATGGAGCAAAGACAAGGTCAAAAAAAAAAAAAAACATATGGAGCAAAGACATTCAACATATAGATTGAAATCATAAATTATAATTCTAAGATTGGAATTTGATAATTGATTTTGCACTGAATTGTTAACCTACTAAAAGATTTCCTGGCATAACCGAGAAAGACAAAAATTTAAATAAATAAAAGGTATATTTAGGTAAGAAACTTTACTGATGTGAAATTATCTCTGCCAAGGTCTTTGCAGCTAATGGAAGACCACCACACCTGTCTACCATGTCATCTTTAATTTTTTCTAATATCCAGTGATCTGAAATCTTCTTTTCCATTGAATCTATAACTATGGACCAACATGACTCTTTGTCCAATGTGGCCTCGTGGGGATACAAATTCCGCTTACCGACCATCTTACTTGCCACTTCCTTGAGTCTACTAGTGACGATGAAGGCACCCCCACTTCCCTTTGGCAAGCCATGTGAGAGATGAGTGTAGTTTTCGTTACCTTCTATCTGCAGCTTGGAGTTAGAATCCAAATCAAAGTACCAATCATTTGCATGCCACATGTTGTCCAACACAATCAAATACTTGTTGTTAAGCAAACAACGGTGTCGGTTGTGCAAAAGCTCATTGAGATCAAAAGCACTGCCACACCAAGAAAAATCACTTGCCAAGCTTTTGAGAATGGCGAAAGCAATTAAGTGGGGTTTAATCAGAGATTGAGGTAATTCAACCCATAAAATTGGGGAGAAACTGTCTTGGACTTGAGAGCTATTGAACACCATTTGAGCAAGAGTAGTTTTACTTGAACCGCCCGTCCCTACAATGCCAATCGTGCTGATACTATCAGTATCAGGTGTCTTGAGGAGCAAATCTTTGATCTTTTCGAAATGGTGTTCGAACCCATGAATCGAAGTCTTGTCGAATTCTGGAAAGTCCCCTCGTTGACGAACCCTAACCAAGCTCAAGGACAAAGGCCTCTTAGTCTCACCTGCAACATTGACGCTGACATCGTGCAAGTATTTCAACAAATTTTCTTTGATGGAGACCAATTTCCTCGTAGTTAAGAACAGAATCCATTTCTTCTTCACATACTGATAACCTACGAGATTTTTCTTGGTCTGGGTAATGCGCTCCTTCTCCTTGCCTGCTAACATGATGCACTCAGCCAATACAAACTTGAGATCGTAGAGCAAATTTTTCATTCTTATGGGTGTTGAGGAGCTGATCCTTATTTTCTGCAACTCCTCTAAGATCGCATGAAAACAAGAACGGAAGGGAAAATCATTGTATTCTGCCACTGCTTCTTCATAATCACTGATGAATTTGTTTTTCAGGAACAGTAAATAATTAGCTGCCATTTCAGATCTTTTATACAAGTTCCAGCAACAATTTCCTTCCCTCCCTCTTCTTCCCTTTTATTTATACAACTTTGTGTTGAAAGTAGCCGCCACTTATATTTATTTTTAGGCCTGACTTCCTTCAGTTCCAGATCAGATTGGAGAGTTCTGTTGGGCTTGTGAGGATCCATCATGGGTCCCGTTTTGATAATCTGAATCGTTCAATATATAGAACTCGTCAAGTATTATATGTCTGTAAAAAATCATGTTAATTGGATATCGATAGATACGTGATCAAATCAGTTTTGTATAATAAAAAAAATAAACGGTTGACAGAAAACTGATCCGATGAGATAGCTATCGATATCCGATCAATATGATTTTTTACAGGTATATAGTACTTGACAAGTTCTATACATTGAATAATTCAGATTATCAAAATCGGACCCATGGTAGACCTCACAGACCCAACTGTACTCTCTAATCTGATCTGAGACTTGAGGGAAGTTTGTAACAACCTTGACCTCTGATTAACATGCAATCCATGATTAAGAATGCATAATAAGTAATTAAAGTGAAATTTTGCATTCATTACGGTGAAAAAATAAATGGTCGACAGAAAACTGATCCGATGAGATAGCTATCGATATCCGATCAATATGATTTTTTACAGGTATATAGTACTTGACGAGTTCTATATATTGAATAATTCAGATTATCAAAATCGGACGCATGGTAGACCCCATGGACCCAACTGTACTCTCTAATCTGATCTGAGACTAGAAGGAAGTTTGTAACAACCCTGATCTCTGATTAACATGCGATCCATGATTAAGAATGCATAATAAGTAATTAAAGTGAAATTTTGCATTCATTACGTGTGTTATGTGTTATATGAGTTTTTATCTGTTCTGTGTAGAAATATTTGTCTCTGATTTTGTTCTATTTTGTAAATTGAAGGCCTTATCGGCACCCGATCATGAAATTGACTTGGTTTTTTATGTTAGTTGGAATTTTTTGAACATTAAGGTAGGTTTAATTAAAATTCGATTCGGAAAGATTAAATTAGAATAATTAAGGCTCAATTAAGCCCAAATTAATGAATTTCTTAATCAAGCCTGTATAAGGCCACCTCAATACCTCTTATACACTTTTGCACTCTCATTTCCTCTTGCTTGAACACCAAAACGTGAGAGAGAGAGAGAGAGAGAGAGAAGAGAAGTTTGAGCTCAAATTGAGAGGATTACTAGAGAACTTGAGAATGTGGCTTGGAACTTCCATCCATTGATCATCTGGAGTATCATTGACAAGCCTAGGTAAGAGTTCAACCCTTAGATTGAACAATTATAATGTGTAGGACATGAGCTCTAAAGAATTAAGTAGGTAGATACAAGAATTGAGTTAGAATTGAAGAGAATTTAACTATATCATGCATGCATGCTTATTTCATCACAATTTGAAGTTGTTTTCAAAGAATTTCCTCTTGCATGTCCTCATTTTGGCCTTGATCAAAGAATTCAATATGTTTTTGAGTTAGACACCTCATTTGATCATGTTTTGAAAGCTTTGAACTTGCACCTTTACAGGCATGATATGTAATGATATGTTTTCACAATTTTTTGGACTTAATTTTTTGACATGATTTTGAATTCATCATGTTTTATCAGTTTACTAGTGTTTTCTCAAGTTTTGGGGGCCAAAAGTTGCATTTTGAGACTTTGAATTTGAGTTTTGCAGTTTGGAGGTGAATATGGAAATCCCAGAATTTGCCCTCTCCGCTCGAGCGGCCACCTTTGTTTTTGCATACCTGCTCGAGTAACCAGAAGTCCGTTTGAGCGTGAAATGCAAGCTCCCAGAAGTTTTATGTTTTTGTAGACCGCTCAAGCAGCAAGGGCTGCACTCGAGCAAGGACTTGAGTCTCTTGCTCGAGCGACCGTCGAGCGTTCGTCGAGCGTGAAAATCACACAACTTTTTCAAAGTTTGCAGACCGCTCGAGTGAGGGAATCTGCGCTTGAGCGGCCCCTCACATGTTTGCATATCCGCTCAAACGAGGGAAGTTGCGCTCGAGCGTAACCCCTATCTTCAACAAGTTTGGTTAAGAGTCCCAAAGTGCATTTTTGGCATTCACATTGCATCATAGGCATTCCTAGGCCATGTTTAAGACTCAATAAAAGGCTAAGACTTAGAAACACGCTAAGAATGAAACGAAAGAAGTTAAGTATCAACTGAGTGTGTGTTTCTGCTATGTGTGTATAAATCACGCGCCACAAGTTATTTGATTTGTCTGTTCTGCAAATGGAGTCATCTGTGAGTAATAACTCTGTAAAGTTATGTTTAACTTTAACTATTTTCTCATGCTATGAAACGATCAGTTTTCTTAATTGCGATGTTTTGTATGAATGAATGATTGTCCAAATTTCTAAAATGTATTCGTGGCATCCTTAATACAAGATCCTTACCTAGGGGTAATAATACCGTGGTCTACAAGTACAAGGCCCTTGCCTGAGGGTAACAATACTGTAGCTCAAGTATATTACAAGTTCCTAGTACTGGAGGTTCCTTATGGAACTGACAAGCAAGATAACGCTAATGGATGTACCATGTATAATTAAGCATGAATTCTGATTTCCGTATGAAGTTTGAACAAGAATATGAATATACATCTATTTTTTATTGAATTCTGATTTCTGAATCTGTTAGGGACATTGTTCATATAAATCCTTTATTCTATTATTATTCACTGGGCTTCCGCTCACTATTTAAATTATGTATATAGGTGATCAAGCACGTAACTAGGCCTAGAGTTGACGGCCTAAGATTCTCTTTTGTCAGCCAATCACCGCGCCTCCCGAGGAGGTTCCTTTGAGAGGTCCATGCCAAGACTTTTTTTGGTTTTGTTTTGTTTATCTATACTTGGGCTAAGTTCCTTTTTGACTTTATCTGTGTAAATGGGTGACGTAAAACTATTGTATTTATGACGTCACGTGTATATATATATATAAGTTCGTTTTGAAAATTTTGTCTCATATATGTCAGTATGGCTCAATGGACTATATATGTTTATATATTGCTTCCTCAGTCCCTAATTATATGTTGTACTGTTAAGAGGCCTTGGTAATTCAAGAATTACTGGCCGGTTACGATACTAAACTTATAGGGGCGGATTTGGGTTGTGACAAAGCTACTGCCTTATTTTAACCTCAAGGCAAGCAATTGAACATGAAAAGATCAGAAATCGTACAATCCAAAAAAAAGTGGATAGTTTCTCAATTAGGATGGCCAAAAAAATAGTCAACTTTTCATACTAGCCACGTCAACAAATCAGACAGTACCAACCTCTTTAATGCAAATCCTTTGTTTATTAAATCGCGAGCTTGTCTGGATTCATGACCTTTTTTTTAATCACGTTTTTTTTTTTTTTTTTGGTTACAAGAAAATCTTCCTTCCTCTCGGAGATCCAAGACAACGCTCCTTCTAGAGATTACTAAGGTGCTCTGTTATTCGTTGTTATTCGTTCTGAATAAAAGACTATAACTTGAGAACTTACCCCGACCTCTCAAATCATCAAGGTGCTCTATTATTCGTTGTTATTTGTTCTGAGTCAGAGACTATAACTTGAGAACTTATTCCGATCTCCAAGACAAGTTCCGCTTAAGTCAAGACTCACGTAGGGGGAGAGCATTGAATCCACAAGTATTGCGGTAACAACAACTTGAGACTAATCTCCTAACTAACAGCGCTACGTCCAAGAGATTGGCCCAAAGAGTTTCAAACTTGAGACTTGGGATTTTAACCCCCACACCTTTACCAAGTGCGCTACATGCCCTCAGTTTTTTTTTTTTTTTTTTCCACGGTGATTCTAGTTGGATTTCTTATCATTTTAATTCCCACACGTGTTGCAACGTCCTTTACTTGTATCACTTGGCAAATGACTGAACACTGATAAAAAGACAAATAATTAAATAATTTTCTAATATTTAAATTATTGCTAATTTTATTCTCAATGTATAATTTAATTTGATTCTTAATATTTAAATTATGTTAATTTTGTTTTTAACATATAAAAAATATTTTAATTTAATCTCTTAAACGCTGTTAAAACTAGCTATTAATGTGGGAAAACACACTTTAAAAATTGGACTCTTATATTCTATTTGGTTGATTGAAATGAGATAAAATGAAATGAAATAATCATTACCGTAGACAGGTAAATAATGATTCTATTTACAAGGTACTTTTTAATATCTTTTTAGTCAACAAAAAAATAAAAATAAATATTTTGATGAAAATTTATTTCACCTGATTTCAGTGAACCAACTAAAATTAAAATATGTGATTTGTATTGCTTGACTTTTAAAATTTGACATTCTAATCTCAAGTATTACATGAAAGTGATTTGCGAAAAAATAGGATGCTATTGGAAGACAACCAGACAAGCGGGTCCATATGGATACTGACCAATGCCCTTTGACCATTAGAATTTCACAATTTCTTGGTTTTATACACAAAAATCTTAAATAAATTTTTGAGTAATGATGATAATGATAAAAATGAGCAGCCCATGATGCACTCCAATATGTATCTAAAGATTTAGGCACTATTTGGGCAAACTATATACTAGTATATTTTTTTATTTTTTTAAAATTATCATAAAGTTTTTTTTTTAATCTTTCCACTATCTTTTTTTATTTATTTAACATGAAAAATATGGCAATGAGTTGTCTCTAATCTAATTATTAAATTGGACGGTGTTGTTTGGTCCGTATAAAGTTCCATTTTGATTATCTGAATCATTTATTTTTTATGTCACTTTGACCCAAAAAAAAAACTTGATCCGATATTTGTAATTATTTTTATAACATTTGTTTTTGAAAAAAAAAAAAGGACATTAATGATTATAAAAATAGATCATATATTTTTTTAGAGACATATGGTAAAATTATGTAGAAATGCATATTGAATTGGTTTGATTTTTTGTGTGGATGATTTACTTAAAGTCACTTAAAAAATAAATAATTCAA